AGAACATATACAATAAAAACATAAATACTTAGCATATAAAAAATAATTGGGCCCAAATTTTTCTTTACTTATAAAATATAATTCTTTACATATACCAAAATAACAAGTACAAAAACTTTAGCAACGGTGGACAGTAATGCCAATTCTTTCCGCTTGTCGACTTCCTTCCGACCGCTGCTCACCTATTTCCTGCAAAACATGGAAAAAACAACAGGATGAGCACAAAAATGCTCAGTAAGTAAATCCCTTATCTCTTCTCCTTCTTTGGTTCTTTCCTTACTTAATTCTCTTCTTCTTTCTTTCGTTCCTAATTCTTTCACGTTTCTTTCTCTGTTTCTAATTCTTACTGTTCTTTCTTTCTTCCTAATTCTCGCTGTTCTTTCCTTCTCTCTGTTCTTTCTTTCTATTCTTTCTAACCATGATGGAATTCATGGTAATATGCATGAATGAAATGCATATGCAATAATGCATAAAAATGCATTTTTCTTTCTTCTTTCTTCTTTCTATTTCTTTTCTTTTCTTTCTTGTCTTTGCTTGTTCAAGCTTTCTCATTCTTTCTTATTCTTGTTCTTTCTATTTCCTTCTTTTCTTATTTTTATTCTTTCTTATTCCTTCTTTTCTTATTCTTATTCTTTCTTATTCTTTCTTTTCTTTTCTTATTCTTTGCCGATCGGACTCGGTTGATGCATGGATTCGGAACCTTGGCCGTGTGAGTGAGTACAGTCCTCATCTACATGCACTCTTGCGGACCGTACAAATTCTTTTTTTCTTCTTAGGCCACTCAATTAAGGTGGCGTGCATGTAGGAATTTTCTTGTTACAACCCTCATCCACATACACTCTTACGGGTCATACAATTCTTCTTCTTCTTATGCCACTCAATTAAGGTGGCGTGTATGTGGGAATTTCTTCTTAGCACTCACGGTTCCCCATCACAACAACCTATTCTTTTCTCTTCTTTAACACTTTTTCATTCTTTAATTCTTTAGTGTTTTTTCCTTCTTTCTCTTTATTCTTAGAGTATTTTATTCTTAAAATTCTTTATTCTTTCTTAAATACTACATATATACAAATATATGCATATGGATGGCTCATGCTTAGAATTCTTACTTAAATGCACTCATGAAATGCAAATATGCAATGTTGCAGCAGTTTGCTTGACTCATTACACACTTCGGTTATCTCCTCTATGGAAGTGCTGTAGGAATCAGACCTACTTTTCTGAAGTACTACTTCTACAAGTATTTAAAGCCGTTCAAAACAAAATTTCGTTCCGAGAATCCCGGGAAAGATAGTTCTGACCCAGGAATTTATACCTAAAGCTTATGATAGCATCAAAATATTTGCTCGTGGGCCTGGATCAAACACATGCGATAATTTTACCTTCGGCTGTCTTGTTGGAAAAAATTATCAACCAATTTCACAGGCTTAATTGGCGAAATAAGTTTCGAATTACCGGCTGCGGCATACTACCACATCAGGATCATAACGTGTTTGGAAAGAAGTACAAGAGCTAGACTTTGGTGTCACAGAATGGAGAGTTAAAGAAATTGGAAGAAAAGTGGTTTTCTCCTTCACCGGAGTGCTCACCACTTAGCTAACGATGACTGAAAGCTTGAAACTCCGCAGCTTTTCTGGTCTCTACCTGATATCTGGTGTCACTTCTACCCTTTGTGCTCTACTATTTTTTTTGAATTTGGGTCTGATTCCTTATCCAATAAGACTTTATTAAATAGAAGGATTATCCCTTCTATAACTCAATAAGCTTGAGCGGCTTAGTCGATGTGACTCTAACACTCCTCCTCACGATCAAGCCCATATGTTAGGTTCATGCCTGTTATTGGAATGTTGTTGACTCTAACCCTCCACCCGCGGGTCAAATGCTCAGTTCAATTGAACCTGTACTCGGATACATCGATGAAGTTGGGCTTAACTTCTCACCCAAAAGGCCTATTGATTGGGAGGATTGTCTGTAGTCCTTTTCTCCTTCTTGATTGATGATACTCGCCGGTGTTTCTTTAGTGGCTGCTCTACACTGCGCAAATTTTTTTTTTTTTTTTTTTTTTTAAGAGATCAGAGAGTGCTCTAATACCTGTTATAGGCCAACTAAGAGGCAAGTCAAGGCAATGTAACCTTGAGTGAAATGAGCTTTTGGAGCAAAGAGGTTAGGCTTCAAAATACAGTCAAATAATTAGTGGAAACAAAAAATCCTGGAATATCAGCTTTAACTTTGGCTCAAACACCAGAGTATATGAATCGAGCTCAGCAAGATGGGAGATCGAGTTCTTCTGACACTCCAGACAACCTCAGACAACTTCACAAGTATATTTTGAAATGCAGATCCCACAGGGGGCTGAGATCACATTGATCTGTGCATATTGTTGTATTATAGATAATTAGATATTTATATGTGTTTTTTCTAATACATAAATTCAAATAGTTTAAATTCATTTCTTGTTATGTATTTTATAATACTCGTATAAGAATCTAAACATTCATACTTTCATCATTTCTAAAAAAAAAATTATCAATTAATGATTTAATTATAAATTTAATATAAAGTTTTTTGTAATTTAATTAACAATGAACTTTTTTTAAAACACAAATTTGCAATGGTTAGTAACAACAATAACCGTTGCAATAATTTGAAGGTAAATATAAATAATAATAATATATAGAGCAATGCAATGAACTCCCTTTAATGAGCTTCGGATCCAAATCCCCTTAGTATACTAGGGGGTGGTGTCTCGATACATAATTATGCAAACTACTATAGCATTTACAATGTGTACTTATAAGCTTTTAACTTTAAGCATTTGAAATTTAAGCATACGGTTGGGTTAAAGTATTTTATAAGTGATTAATAATGTTAACGTGTTTGATAAAATGTGGCTTATAGTACATTTTATAATGACTAAAAATGGTATACATTAAACAAGTTAACTATAAATTTTTAAAATTAAACAAGGATATGTGGTAATATACTTGGTCAAACTAGCTTATAAGCAGAGTGCTTAAACACAATAAAAAAAGTACCTCTTCCCCACCCCAAAACACCCCCCCCCCCCCCCCCTCTCCTATTTTTTTTTTTTTTTTTGCTTATAAGCTCAAAAAAATTATAAACAAACAGGTCAGCTTATTTTTAAACTTATAAGCTATTTGACCACTTATAAGCTTAGACAAACACTCCCTAATAAAGTCTATTGAAATTCTTATTTATAGATAATTCTAATACTCCAAAGATTAGTGGAGATGCCCATATACGTATGCGTGTTGTTTTGGGGGTAAATGTCTCCCTTCGCTCCACTTTCTTTTGTAAGAATTTTTAATTTATTTCTTTAGAAGTAAAAGTCACACATTCCTTACCCATTAAATTTGAACCATTAGTTTTCTCTAACGTTATAACATGTCTTCACGTAATTGATGAAAACAGAACCAACATATCTGCCCTACTTCTTGAACCTCCATACGCGAAAGTCTTCCTCAACAAGTACTGCAAGAGTTACACAACCTCCAACACTTACAGATTTGGAGGCTTTGGCTTTATAAGAAATTTACATCTCAGTGCACAATAGTTTACATGATTTTGCCTATATTCTTTCAAGGGATAAATTAGAAAGCTAACATTATTGCTTTTGCTGCACAATGACATGTAGGCATTTCAAAAAGGCTCTCTTTTGGTCTTTGATTTTTCTAGAGCCATTCTGAACATATCAGAGATGGGAAAGCTAAATGATTTGGAAAAGAAGTGGTTTGTTGCCACAACTGAGTGTTCAACCGATGAACGAAATACTATTAAACCAGAAAATTTGACCCTCCACAGCTTCTGGGGTCTCTACGTTGTATATAGAGCCATTTCTGTCGTTTGTTTTATGCTATTCATTATTCGGTTAGTAAACAATTTTCGGTGTCGACAAGGAATGTACAATGACAATACAACCCCAAGTAACAGGGTTGTCTGGGAGACGGTGATTAATCTTGCAAAATACTTTAACAGTAGAAAAGAAACCAATTACACTCCAGAAAGAGCTCCAGATTTTGCTCAAGCACTGGATGCAGTTGAATGGACCTTATCCAGGAGGGATTATGCGGGTCCTGAAACTTCAGAGAATCCTCAGGATTCCTGATCCATATCCAACCAATTCAACAACACAACATACTCCAAAACCAAGTATAAATTCGGCCAAACTAAAAACATGAACTAAATCACATTTACGTGTAAATCAGGACTAAAACAAGTAGAAACACTTCAAACCTAAATGATTATTTCACCAACTTGAATTGATTATGTCCATTTGTATAAATCAGATACGAAATATATATCAATATGTTCTTATATCATATTAAAGAAGAATGTCAATGAATCATATTTCAAGATACATAGGTTCCACAAGAGATGACCTAGTTAAAAAATGTTGTACATAGAAAGGCAAGGCTTAACCCTGATATAAATTTAAAAAGTATTTTTAATAGCTTAATTCTCTAACTCCACTAATATGTATCAACCTAGATTGGATGAAAAAATGGCATCAATAAGGTTCTTTAATCATCACCAATCAAGATAATCTATCTGAAGATTGTTGAAACCACAACCAAATCACACACAATAATAAAAGCGGAAAAGTAAATTATGATTGTAGTTAAATTAATTCATGCCAAATTGTGAATATTTCACAGTATTGCACAGCCACGAAATGGATTAATTATGATTGTAGTTAAATTATAAGAAACTACGTTTGGTGAAACATATAAATTGTAGTATGCCTGCGATATATCCACTAAAATACTTACATAGGCGTATATTTTACAAAACTTTGCTTACAGTCTTTAGTCACTTACTTAGATGTTCCTGGTAATTGCACGGTGTCTCTTTCTGTCAAATCACGTGCATATCAGTGCATCTTTATTTATCTAATTATTCAAGATACACGCCATTTCAGGTTTCTTTATATAAATTCCATATAACGGAATGGACCATAGGTAAAGAAATTATAGGCTATCATGACAGAACCAAAATTTCTTTCTTCAATCAGTGTTTCTGGTAATACAGTAACACACTCAAGAACATGGCTCCTTGTCCAGCTACTCATCTCCAGTTTTATCATCCTCTGCCGTGGAGTTGAACTTGAAGCTGCTGATGGCTACAAGCTTATAAACATTGGCACAATCATTGATAATGCTGATTCCCGAATTGGGAAAGAACAAAGAGTCGCCATGCAAATAACAGTCCGAAATTCTAACACAGTACTGAAAAATTACAACCTATCTCTTCACTTCCGCCATCCTGATAGAGATCTCTTAAAAGTTGCTACTGCAGGTAAAATGTCAATTTTTATTGAGTTTTCTACTTCTATTACCTGAATTTTAACATGTAGTAATGGAAGTTATTGAAATCCTGTTGCTGCTGAACCGCTGATAAAAGAACAGGAAGTCAAGGTGATTATCGGCATGGAGTCGTGGAAAGAAGCAGCTCTAGTTGCTGATAGCGGACGCCGAACCCAAGTTACTGTCCTATCTTTTCCAGAACCGCCCATTACAACACCGTTAATGGAGACTCGCTGGCCTTTCTTGGTAAGGATGGCTAACAATAGAGCGGAACAGATACGATGCACTGCAGCTCTTGTTGGTTCCTATAATTGGAGAAAAGTTATTGTGATTTATGAAGATGATGCAATTGGTGGAGACACTAGGGACTTGGTGATTCATCTGTCAGAAGCTCTTCGAAATGTTAGCTCTGAGATGCCACCTATTTCTTATTTGACTAATCCAGAAGAATATGTACAAGAAGAGCTGGAGAAACTACTTCAAACACAATCTCGGGTTTTTAACGTGCTTCAGTCATCATCACCTATGACGATTCATCTGTTTAGAGAAGCAAAAAAGATGGGACTTGTGGGGACAGACTCAGTTTGGATAATCACAGAAACCATTACAAGTTTGCTTGACTCATTCAACACTTCGGTTATCTCCTCTATGGAAGCTGCTGTAGGAATCAAGACCTACTTTTCTGAAGATACTACTTCTTACAAGTATTTTAAAGCTCAGTTCAAAACAAAATTTCGTTCCGAGAATCCCGAGGAAGATAGTTCTGACCCAGGAATTTATACCTTAAAGGCTTATGATAGCATAAAAATAGTTGCTCGGGGCCTGGATAAAACAACAAGTGACGATAATTTTACTTCGGCTGTCTTGTTGGAAAAAATATTATCAACCACTTTCACAGGCTTAATTGGCGAAATAAGTTTCGAAGTACTCAGGCTGCGGCATACTACCACATCAAGGATCATAAACGTGTTTGGAAAGAAGTACAAAGAGCTAGACTTTTGGTTGTCACAGAATGGAGAGTTAAAGAAATTGGAAGAAAAGTGGTTTTCTCCTTCACCGGAGTGCTCAACCAACTTAGCTAACGATGAAACTGAAAGCTTGAAACTCCGCAGCTTTTCTGGTCTCTACCTGATATCTGGTGTCACTTCTACCCTTTGTGCTCTACTATTTTGTTGGAATTTGGGTCTGATTCCTTATCCAATAAGACTTTATTGAATAGAAGGATTATCCCTTCTTATAACTCAATAAGCTTGAGCGTGCTTAGTCGATGTGGGACTCTAACACTCCTCCTCACGATCAAGCCCATATGTTAGGTCATGCCTGTTATTGGAAGTAGTTGTTGACTCTAACTCCTCACCCGCGGGTCAAATGCTCAGTTCAATTGAACCTGTACTCTGATACCATCGATGAAGTTGGGCTTAACTTCTCACTCGCCAAAAGGCCTTATTGAGTGGGAGGATTGTCTGTAGTCCTTTTCTCCTTCTTGATTGATGATATCTCCCGTGTTTCTTTAGTGGCTGCTCTACACTGCGCAAATTTTTTTTTTTTTTTTTTTTTTAAAAGAGATCAGAGAGTGGCTCTAATACCTGTTATAGGCCAAATTCAAGAGGCAAGTCAAGGCAATGTAACCTTGAGTGAAATGAGCTTTTGGAGCAAAGAGGTTAGGTTGCAAAATACAGTCAAAATAATAGTAGTGAAACAAAAAATCCTGGAATATCAGCTTTAACTTTGGCTCAACACCAGATGTAATGAATCGAGCCAGCAAGATGGAGATCAAGTTCTTCTGACACTCCAACAACTCAGACACTTCACAAGTTATTTTGAAATGCAGGATATCCCACAGGGTGGCTGAGATCACATTGATCTTGCATATTTTTTGTATTAATAGATAATTAGATATAGATATATATGTGTTTTTTCTAATACGATAAATTCAAATAGTTTAAATTCATTTCTTGGGTTATGTATTTTATAATACTCGTATAAGAATCTCAACATTCATACTGACGCCGGGACATCGTGAGAAACCCCAATCTTGACAAGGTTGAAAACCTCATTATGGGTGCCAATCGTGGTGAGGTTAGAATAAACCCCGCTATAGCGATAATAGCCAAAAAAGGCCACCTTGGTTGGCTAAGTCAAGGATAACTATAACCTCAAAGAGGAAGAGAAAGTAAATGCTTTAACTCTAAATATATTTAATAATATTCAAGGATATGTCGTAAATGCTCCAGATGGTCTTCAGGGTTTCGGCTATATACCAAAATATCATTGAAATATACCACAACAAACTGTCCAATGAAAATGTGAAAAACCTGATTCATGAGACGCATAAAGGTACTGGGTGCATTGGAGAGTCCAAAAGGCATGATTGTCCATTCATATAGCCCATCACGAATTTTAAATGCAGTCTTCCATTCATCCCTAACCCGCATTCGAATTTGATGATAGCCACTTCGTAGGTCTATCTTGGAAAAAACGGTGGCTCTATGTAACTAATCCAGCAAGTCATCAAGCCGAGGAATGGGGAAACGATACTTGATAGTAATCTTGTTCACAGCACGACTATCAATGCACATACGCCAAGTCCCATCTTTCTTTGGAACTAGTAAAGCAGGGACTGCACACAGGCTGACAATTTCTCTGACTAAGCCTTTCTCTAATAGTTGCTTAACTTGGCGTTGTAGCTCCTCATGTTCTTTAAGGTTCATGCGGTATGCTGGTTTATTTGGAATGACAGAACCAGGAATGAAATCAATAGCATGTTGAATATCTCGTGTTGATGGCAAACCATGAGGTATCTCATCTGGCACAACATCAGAAAATTCTTGAAGTAAGTGCTTGATTTCTTCGGGCAAGGCAAGAGACGACACTTCATTTTCTTCACACAATAGTAACAAGCACACCTGGTTTATTTCCCGACAAGCCTTCTCAAGACCAGATCTCATGATGAATGCCGCAGGCTCCTCTGGTTCTTCAAACGATTTTCTGGCCTCATAGGGGTCAACATTACCCTTACCCCATCCTTTTTGAAAGAATACATGTTTTTGTATCCATCATGAAGAGCTTGACGATCATACTGCCATGGGCGTCCCAATAATAAGTGGCAAGCATCCATCGGAACAACATCACACCAAACTTCATCCTGATACTTATCCCCGATGGAAAATTGGACACAACAATGCTTGGACACCTTGACTTTATTTCCTTTCCTCAACCATTGTAGTTTATAAGGATAAAGATGTGCTACGGTTGGGAGCTTCAATTTCTCTACCATATAATTGGCAACAACATTTTCACAGCTACCCCCATCAATAATGACGTTACAAACCTTCCCTTTGGACGTGCACCTTTTATGGAAAATATTGTGATGAAGCCAACTTTCATCTTCAGTCATCATAACGGCGCTAAGATTGCGACGTACCACAAGGGATTCTCCATTATCAGTAGGTACTTCTTCTATTCTATCATCATCAAGCATTTCTTCTTCATCTATTGTACCCTCCTCAACATGCTCTTCAATAACTTCTTCCTCCACAAGTGAAACAATTCTTCGATTTGGACAATCAGAAGCGATGCCCAAAACCTTGGCACTTGAAACATTTTCTTGAAGCGGCATTATGAGTGGAATTAGAACCACCCTTTTTATCATTTCTATAAGGAGGCTTGAAGGAGTTTACTTTAGAATTTGGAATGGGTGCTAAGCTTTGTTTCCCACGACTTGTTGTAGTCTCCCTTTGTCTCGTGGAATTTATAGTGTTTTTTCGTGCCCACTGCTTCTCAACCTTAATCGCCAACTGGATAACATCAATCAGACTCTAATATGGTTGTACTTGCACGACATCTGCAATCTCTACATTAAGACCTCCTAGATAACGAGTGATAGTTTGCTCTTCTGGTTCATGGATATCGCACTTCAGAAGAAGTTGCTCAAACTCCAACGTATACTCTTCTACCGAAATGGCTCTTTGTCTTAAATTATGAAACTGAAGAAAAGTGTCCTGCCGATAGTGTGCTAGAAGAAACTTATGTTTGAGGTCTCGGTGCATCTTCTCCCATGTTCTGATCTTCTGACGGCCCTCCCTTTCTCGCTGCCGTTTCAAATTCTCCCACCATATAGATGCATATTTCTTCAATTTTATTGCAACCAGTTTCACACGCTTCTCATCAGGAACATCTTGAAGCTCAAAAATTCTTTCTATCGTGTGTAACCAGTCAATAAAATCATCTGGTTGAAGTCTTCCCTCAAACTCAGGAATGTCTACTCTGAAGCTTGAAATCCCAAATTCACTGCCTCGACCCCTCGGACGGAACCTAGGAGATTCATCTCGAGATAAGGAGTCTTCCCCAAATGGATTGGTGCCCTCACCTTCACTGTTGGAGCTATTACTGATTTCATCATCTTGATCTCGTGTAACTCCATGTCTTGCAAGTTGTTCTTGTAGTTCTTTGATTTGGTTTCTTAATTCCTCAATTTCAACATCTCGCACAGTTCTCTGACGATTTGGAGGTTTTGGTGGCATTTTGTGGTAGGGGTGATGAGGTATAAAAATCAAATAATTTACAGAAACTTGATATAGTAGTAAGCGCTACTATGGTTCAATACGCACCAAGAAAATTCCTAGGAAAGTGGAGGGGTCACAAGCGGTCCCACTTAAAACCCACTTTCCTTAGACTCTTATTGTCTTGTTGACAGAATTTTCCTAGACATGCATATGAATTAAATAGCTACTTACGATCCTAAACCAAAGCTTTGTAAACTAATGACTAGGCAAGGAAAAAAAAGCCTAGAATAATGGCTACTTGAAAGTAAAAGTGAGAAGGAGGAAAAAAATTACCTAAAGAAGAAACCAAAGCTCTGATACCAAGCTGACGCTGAGACGTCGTGAGAAACCCCAATCTTGGCGAGGTTGAAAACCTCACTATCCGTGTCAATCGTGGTGAGGTTAGAATAAACCCTACTATGGCGATAATACCCAAAAAAGGCCACCTTGGTTGGCTAAGCCAAGGATAACCATAACCTCAAAGAGGAAGAGAAAGCAAATGCTTTAACTCTAAATATATTTAATAATATTCAAGGATCTGTCATAAATGCTCCAGATGGTCTTCAGGGTTTCGGCTATATACCAAAATATCATCGAAATATACCACAACAAACTGTCCACTGAAAGGGCAAAAAACCTGATTCATGAGACGCATAAAGGTACTGGGTGCATTGGAGAGTCCAAAAGGCATGACTGTCCATTCATATAGCCCATCAGAGTTTTAAATGCAGTCTTTCATTCATCCCCAACCCGCATTCGAATTTGATGATAGCCACTTCGTAGGTTTATCTTGGAAAAAACGGTGGCTCCATGCAACTGATCCAACAAGTCATCAAGCCGAGGAATGGGGAAACGATACTTGATAGTAATCTCGTGATGGGCTATATGAATGGACAGTCATGCCTTTTGGATTCTCCAATGCACCCAGCACCTTTATGCGTCTATGAATCAGGTTTTTCGCCCTTTCATTGGACAGTTTGTTGTGGTATATTTCGATGATATTTTGGTATATAGCCGAAACCCTGAAGACCATCTGGAGCATTTACTACAGATCCTTGAATATTATTAAATATATTTAGAGTTAAAGCATTTGCTTTCTCTTCCTCTTTGAGGTTATAGTTATCCTTGGCTTAGTCAACCAAGGTGGCCTTTTTTGGCTATTATCGCCATAGCGGGGTTTATTCTAACCTCACCACGATTGGCACCCATAGTGGGGTTTTCAACCTCGCCAAGATTGAGGTTTCTCGCGACGTCCCGGCGTCACATACTTTATCATTTCTAAAAAAAAAAATTATCAAATTAATGATTTAATTAATTAATTTTAATATAAAGTTATTTTGTAATTTAAAATTAACAATGAACTTTTTTTTAAAACACAAATATTGCAATGGTTACGTAACAACAATAACCGTTACAATAATGTGAATGGTAACTATAATAATAATAATAAGCATTAATAATAATGATAGAGCAATGCAATCAACTCCCTTTAATGAGCTTTTGAGTCTAAATCCCCTTAGATACTAATAGGGATAATCATTGAAATTCTTACTTATCCGACAGTTCTAAGACTCCAAGAGATAACTAAAGATGCCCATATATGTATGCATGTTGTTTTAGGGGTAAATGTCTCAAATGCCTTCGCTCCACTTTCTTTTGTAAGAATTTTTA